ACTCTGAATTTTCAGCTGGAAAAGTGAAGCCAGTGATTTTTTTGTATTAAATCCTTTTATTGGTACATTGTAGGTATACAACACAATTACATTTCTCATTGGGAATTGTACCTTTACATGATGCATCTTGGTTCTTATTTTTTCCCCATTCCTAGCCCTCCCTTCACCCCCTCCACACTTCCCTATTTACAAAGACTTTATTTCCATTTTTTCCATTTCTCAGCATTTTTCCTTTCCCTTCTTTCCTTTCCCCTGCCCCTCCCACTACCCCTACCCCTTTGGACCTTTTCTTCCTATTTTGCATTATCCATTATTCATTCTAATCTTTGGTACCTTTTAGGTATACAATATAATGACATTCATCATTGGAAATTTGCACCTTTCCATAGTCTCTCTTGGTTCTTATTTTTCACCCTTGCCCAGCCCTCCCTTCAACCCCTCCATTCCTCCCTATTTACAAAGATTTTGTTCCTATTTTTCCATTTTCTCATATTAATCCCATTCCCTTCTATCCTTTCCCCTAGCCCTCCCACTTCCTTCCCCTTTGCCCCTTTTCTTCCTATTTCACATTACCTATTATACATTTAGTCCTTATTTACACTTTCAGTTTCTCACACCAGAGAAACTATTCAGTATTTATACATGTGTGTCCTATTTATTTCACTTAAGAGTATCGCCTCAATGTGCATCCACTTAGCTATAAATGTCTCTAATTTCTCGTTTTTTATGGCTGAGTAGTACTCCATTTTATAAAAAAACCACATTTTCTTTATTTAGTCTCCAGTTGATGGGCATTTGGGCTGTTTCCAAGTTTTAGCTATTACAAACTGTGCTGCTATGAACATGGGCACACATATATCACTGTGGTATGATTCTTTTAATTCTTTTGGGAAGATCTCCAGCAGTGGAATAGCAGGGTCAAATGGGACTTCCAGTCCTAGTTCTTTGAGGTATCTCCATACTGATTTCCACAGTGTGAAGCCAGTGATCTGCAGGGGAGGTGGGGGAAACCCAAGAAAGCACAGCAGCTGGTAATGTAGCAGGTAATACTTCCCTCTCCACAAAGCACTTCCATTACAGGTACATAGATACATTTCTCAAATTCTTAATCTGAATTAATCACCACAAGAGTCCTGTAAGGCAGACAGGATATCACTTCCTATTCTTCAGTCAAGGCACCAAGGAATAGAAGAAGATGAAATTGTTACAGCAACACAACATATGACTACAACTATGAATGTTTTTTTGGTTTTTGTTGGTTTTGTTTGTTTTTTTGTTTGGTACCGGGGATCGAACTCAGGTCCTTGCACTTGCGCAGCAGGGGTTGGAACCACTGAGCTAAATCCCCAGCCCCACAACTATGAATGTTGACATCGGATTGTTTGCATTGAATTCCGACTTCGGCACTTGGCAGTTGTGTGACCGTGAACAAATTAACTTCTCCAAGCCTCAGTATTTTCACCTTTAAAATGAAGCTAATATAGTGGCTGTCACTTTTTATATATAGTAGCTATTTCACAGAATTGCTCTTCAGTGAGAATTAAATTGACTAAAGATGAAGAAGAACTAAATTATATCACAGAGCTACAGTAATCAAAACAATATTGTCTCTGGGAAGCCAGGGCCTGACTCCATGAGGATCTCCACCCCTCCCTTCCTTGGTCCTCTGTTCTTTGTGCCCCTGATGAAAGAACTCACCCAAGACACATAGGCAGCTGTGCAAAATACAGGAAGAATCTATTGTGAAGTAAATAAAAAGAGAATTACACCTTCCTCTGAGGAAGTGGGCAGCACCAGCAAGGCATCTGCACCAAGTACAAGTTAAGGTACAAGTTACTTCCAGGGTTCAGGGAACTAGGATAATTATGACCCTTTGCAATGCTTTATTTAGAAGTCACTTACAACTAAAAAAATGTCTTCCTGTCCCTTTTAGATGGTCACTGTTTCCCCAAAGGCTTTAATCACGTGAGAACTCATGAAAAAAGTTTGAGAAAGATAATTTTTAACTTAAACCAGCTCCCAGCCCAAGGCAGGGAAAGTCCTTTCCTGACAGCACTGGGCTGTGAGCTATGGTAAACAGGAGCACTGTGTGCCTTGTTCTGGAGTTGGATAGCCAGGTGGGCTGGTGTCAGAAGGAATGTGCACAGTGCATAGCCTTAAATGACATTGTACTCTCTGGGACTGCTCTGAGTTTGAGACCTCACAAATGATTATAAATGTGTTTTCTTTAATTATCTGTCAAAGTGTGCTATTTTGGACACAACTCCACCTTTGTTTCTCAGGCCTGCTGATGTCTAACTACCTGCCTGACAATACAACACTGACATAAAAACACTCATAACCAGTGGAACAAGATAGAGTCCAGAATTGATTCTGAACTCAGATAGTCATCAAGTTTTCAATAAGGGCTTCAAGAAGACATAGTGCAGAAAGGATATTCTCTTTACTAGTTGGTACCATGAAAAGTATATTCACACATACAAAAGAATGGATGTACAGTAGCCCCTTATCTTACAGCACACACAAGAAAGTCAACACAACATGGGAAAAAAGTCTAGCTGTAAGACTTGAAACAAAAAACTCCAAGAACATTCACAGAAAAAATTCAACATTGGCCCTGACAATGATTTCGTGGATCACACCAAAAGCTCAGGCTACAAAAACAGAAAAAAGAAGAGCCAGGGATTTAGCTCAGTGGTTCCGGCACCTGCCTCACAAGTGCAAGGTCCCGAGTTTGATTCCCAGTACCAAAAAAACAGAAAAAAGAAATGAGACTACATCACACTAAAAAGCAAAGGAAGCACACTAAACAGCAAAGGAAATATTTAACAAAAAAACTACTGACCAGGAAAAATATTTGCAAACCATATTTCTGATAATGGGTTAACAAAGAACCCATACAGCTCAGTAGCAAAATACAATGCAATGGAAAGGGGCTGAATCACATTTATTCAAATATAATTTAAAGTGGCCCATGGGTATACAAAAAGGTGCTCATCATCATTTATTATCATGAAAATACAAATCAAAACTACTATGACGTATCACCTCAACTCTTTTAGGTAAGCTATGATTTTTTTTAAAAAAGAAAACATATAACAGATGTTGCCAAGTGTGTAGAGAAAAGGGAAATTTCATGTGTTGTTGGTGAGAAAGTTATGGCAAACATTAAGGAGTTCCTTCCAAAAATTGAATCAGAATTACCAGGTGATCCATTTGCCCCTCTTCTGAATAGTATGTACCCAAAGAGTGTGAAACCATAACCTCATCCTTTCTACGTTAGTTCCAACATTAGCCACAGTAGCCAAGGAAGCCACTGGAAGCAGTGTAGGTGCTCACCAACAGATGCTCGTTCACCTGTAGATGACATGAGCTAAGGGCAGGTACTTTAAAGTGGTTAATATTCTTACTCCATTCTGCAGAATGCTGTTAAACTCAGGTGGCATTCCTCGGTGAGCCAGCATTTCTGAATGAATGACACAGTCCATTTAAGCAAACTCTTTGACCCAAAGAGAGAAAGCAGAAAGCCATGTGGTCATGGCAGCGTTTCCAAACTTTCATGAGAAATATCTACTTAAGGTTCTTCCTACAAGCATCAGTTTTGAGGGAAGGTGTTTGGGTGAAGAGAACTCATGTATTCTTCCATTTAGTAGGAGTACAGGGATATTCCGGACAAGATCCCATTCTTGGTTTAATCTGCTTCAACCAAGCTTACTTCTAGAGAGAAAGGGCAATGAGCTAAATACTCTTACTGATGGTGAGTTCTTTCTGATGATGAAGATGATAATCTAATCCTTTACTATCTTGTGAGATAGTTTTGAAGAATAGCACTGAAAGATGCAGTGCAATGTGAACCCAGTGGCTGACCAATATTTGAAACGTCTTGGTCAGTAAGATGCATTTAAATTTACAGGCCATGCTTTCTGAGATTTGCAACAGATTGGTGCCTACCCTCCCTGGCAAAGTTATGGAAGGCCTCAATATTCCCAAATGTTCTGCCTGTAAAGTGGGGATAGTTTCTCACCTTCCCATCTTATGTGGAAAAGGAATAATAAAATCTATGTCTTAAAACAATATGAAGAGTAAAGTGTCATGTAAATTCTCTGCAGTGTTTATCAGATTCAGTCTAAAAACATTGGTCTGAAGAAATATCTCTTTAGATTTTGTAAAAAAATTCTCTTGGTGGACTCTGAGTGTCCTTGGCACCCCTAGGTCAGCTGGTCTGCTGCTCCCTGGTCAGAGTCTAGCCCCCGGAACTCCTCCACATTCCGTCTCTGGAATCGGGCCCTGCCCCCGGACACACCATGGCGGCCATCTTTCTGAGGTCTGCGTGGTCTCAGAGAAGCCACCAGGAAGCTTGCTCCAGCCCATCTAAGCCCAGAAACTGCCCGCTCTTCCTTCTTTCTTTCTAGATAGAAGGAAACTACCCAACCCTTCACCTCCAAAGTGTTCCCTTTCTCCTACACTTGCTTTTCTCCCATTTCTTTCTCACAGTTCAGTTTGTTGTGTGGGCTCAGTGTGTGAAGCAGAAAGAAAAATTTAGTTAGGAAGAAATCCAGAGAAAGACTGTCCATCCCCACTGTGACTCTCTTACCCTGTCCTTCCTTGTCCTTCTCTTCCTCCTCCTCATACTCCTCCTCCCTTTCTTTTCTGCCTCTTTCTTTCTCCCTCTGCCCTTCTGACTCTCTCTCTCTCTCCTATTTTCTCTCCTGTAACTAAGTCTAAAGTTATCAGAGTCCTTTTAAACTTATTTTTAATTTTCACACATTTATTTTATGCATTATATTATATTCATTACACCATGATTATCTATACTTAACAATTAAAAGAAGGAAAACCAGTGAAGAAAAGAATAGGCCTCATGGCATCCTGGATGACTCTATTTCTCTAAATCAGCTGTCTCTCAAAATGTAATCTGTTCTCAAAAACATAATCACATGGAGAGTTTTGTCCACCTGGGTTCTCTTCACGGAAATTGGCCTTTTAAGCTCTGTTCAAAGTCAGAGACGTGGCCACAGACACATCGCAGAGAGGCAGCTGAACACAATGACCACAGGGAACAAAGAAGCCGGATTCTCACTTCTCTCTACCTCGCTATTCTTGCAACCTACAAACGGTCTCTTCAGTATTCTCAAATCTGCCTTCCTTTTCAGAGTAATAATACCTGCCTGAACATGACCCTTATTGACATCAATGTGTGGCGGTCTTTACCACCCTCTTGAGGGCCTCCTTAATCTCCTGGTTCCTCAGACTATAGATCAGAGGGTTGAGCATGGGGATGAAGATGACATAGACCATGGACAGCACTTTGTTCTGCTCCATGGAGTGGCCAGAGCTGCGGTGCATGTACACCGAGAGCACTGTGCCATAGAACAGCGTCACAGCCGCCAGGTGGGAGGCACAGGTGCTGAAGGCCTTGGAGGAACGTTTGACTGATGATATTTTGAGGACGGCAGCCGCGGTGAAGCAATAGGATAAGAGGATAACAAGAAAAGAACCAAACCCAACAAAAACAGCAGACAGAAAGACAATCAATTGGCTGATGTAAGGGTCAGAGCAAGACAAAGTGATAATCTGAGGCATGTCACAGAAGAAATGTTGAATGATATTTGGCCCACAATAGTAGAGATGAAAGCAAGACACTGTTTGCGCTAAGCTGCTAAGGAAACCAGTACCAAAGACCCCAGCAACCATCTTCTGACAGAGGCCTGGCGCCATGATGGCTGAGTACTGCAGAGGCCTCCTGATGGCCACGTATCTGTCATAGGCCATGGCAGCCAGGAGGCTGCACTCGGACATCCCCATCCAGGCCAGGACAAAGTACTGAGTGGCACACGCAATGAGGGAGATCGTTTTTTCATCTCTGAAGAAGTCTGCAAGCATCCTGGGGCTGATGGAAGAAGAATAGCAGATATCTATGGATGACAGGAAGCTAAGAAAAAAGTACATAGGTGTGTGCAGGTGGGTATCCATCCTGATGAGGACGATGAGGCCCAGGTTCCAGGCCAGAGTCACAAGGTAGACCCCCAGGAAGCCAGGGAAGAGGCTGAGCTGCAGCTCCCTCCGGGCTGAGAGTCCCAGCAGCACGAATGTGGCCACAGAGCTGTGGCTTTTATTCCCATCCATAGCCGGCTGCCGAGAAACAGGTGACAGGGAAACGGTGTTACTCCTGAAAGCTAAAATGGAACACGACAGATTTTTCCAATAATGCATCTGACTGTATGTGCAACCCTACATCCTTAATGTTAATTTGCACCTTCCAGTCATCGTCCCTAATTGATGCCTTTTATTTATTTTTAATTCATTAAGTTTATTGGTACATTTTAGATACACATAATGGTCACCTTCATCATAGGGAATTTGTACCTGTCCATGACATATCTTGATTTTTCTTTTCTTCCCATTCCCTTCCTCTCCCTTTAACCCCTCTTCTCCTCCTTATTTACAAAAGCTTTGTTTCCATTTTTTTCTTCCTTTCTCTTTTTTTATTTTCCTTTCCTTTCCCGTGTTGAAAAATTTTCTTGGAGATATATTATCATTCTGCCTTGGGGAACAAAAGATGCTAAATGGGCATCATTTCTATGATCTCTCTTAAATCTTGTCTTAATCTCATATTTTCCTGTGTCAGAATGTGCAAATACATGGTGCTCTGATGATTGGACAAATTAGAGAAATAAAGTCACCTCTCTGTAAGGTGAAACAGGGCGACGCTGCTCAGGCGTGGCTGTTACTCAGTGTTTGACGAAGCCAGAATCATGCTGGGCTCACATGTGAAATGCGGATGCTGGAGTAAATGCCCTTTTAAATCTCCCGAGAACTAACACTGAGTTAGCCTGCAGCCGTAGAGTTTGTCAGTTCTGTAAGCTGCTTTCATAAAGCCTGGAAAACATGAGAATAACATGCTGAGATGATGGGAAGGCCCCTCCCACAAAGCAGCTTCAAGATCAGTGTGACAGACATCAGCAAAGCTCCTGAGAAGTTAGAGAAGACAAGATGGAAAGAACTTTCATATTCCCTTCTGTCTGTGTGCATGGTTCTCTTTGCTCAAGTCAGTTATGAATCAATTGATAATAATTCATGATCATCTTTGGGCCAGTGAGACTTTTCAAAAATCCTTTAGAAACTGTGGACCTTCCACCCAGCACACTGCCACCACTAACCACCTGTGTATACAGTTTTGCCGGAGTCTTGGTCCACCTCCCAATTGTCAGCTATTCCCGGGTTGACAGTTGTTCAACAAAGGAGCTTGGCTTAAACTAATGCAAGGGTTAGAACCCTCAGGCGATGACTTGGGGATTGGAAACTGGAGCATGAGAGGAAATCCTTTTCTCTTTTTCACTTTGAAGGCAGTCTGGGAAAGGCAAACCACTCAGTCTTCCACTCAGATGGTGACCAACCAAAAGAATATTTTTGTCAGGGTCCCTGTGCCCTCTCTTCCAGGTGCCATTGCATTCGTGCTCTCTAGGTAGTTAATAGGAACTCCCAAGCCATACACATTTTCACTCAGATGAACTCAAGCTAGAAAGAAAACCAAGGGAGGCTTGAAAGACTGAATATACCTATCAAATACTGTTTGAGAGTATCTAAGTGTGGAAGGATAACTCGTGGACACCTCCTTTGAAAAAGATTATTATGTTCACGGAATAAATTATGTCTATCAATGACAAATATGTGTCATAATTAGACATCTAAACTGTTCTTCTTCTCCTAATACCTTTTCCGGTCTCTTAGTTCTAAATATGAAGACAAAGAGAAAATATCCCTAAAGCATAAATGTATTCTCAGAGAAGTAAGGTCGAGGTGTTCTCTTCCCAAAATCATATCCATCACTATCCTGAGGGGGTCCTGTTGTGTCACTGAGACTCTGATCCTTGGGAGTCCCGGAAACAGTGTGACCAGCATTGTCCCTTACCCCGCCTCGAGTGTTATCTAGTACTCCCAACCCACACATTCCCATTAACACCCAGGCCTTAGACCACAGGATTCACCAGACCCCTCCTGGATAAACGCAGCCCACTCCACCATCCACCTAGGTTTTTGCTTTCTGGCCATATCTCTATTTGAGGAATTTATTTGCTTTCTCATTAGTTTTGCTGTAAAAAAAAAATGTGTTTTAAATTTTATCTAGTGTCCCTCATAGTTTCTGGGAAGGTATAACCTATCATTTTCCTGAAACATATCTACAACATTATTTTTATTAAAGTGTTGATTATTCCAGTTTATCACCAACCAATTTTTCTAAAATCTCCAGGTTCCCCAATTTTATTTATTGCTCTTACTATGATTAAGTTTGCCTTAAAAGCAAGGCACTATTAGTTAACATGTAAGTACACACTCTATTCCAGGTGATATTCTGGATCTTTTTATGTTTTAATTTGTCCAATAGCCCTATATATTCCTGTTTTCTCACTTTGTAGATAAGGAGACTCTGGGTCAGAGAAGTAAAAATCTCAAGGTTACACAACTCATGAAGGACATACCTCCCGTCTACAGGTCGATTCCAGGGACTCCAGCCCCAGAGCCAACTTCTAAAAGACTCCACTTCATTGCCTCATGAAATGAGTTCATTGCTATATCGATCTAACTTTTAACAACTATGGCATGCAAAGCACTCTTCTAGGTAGTTGGGACAAGGCAAAACCTCTCATAAGAACCTTATAGCCCAGCGAGATAAAAATGTGCTCATGAAGTCATAAGATAAACAAGAATTGATGTGAACCCTAAAAATGACAGAGAGAATTCTGCAGGTACCCAGCAGCTGAGGTCAGCCGGAAGTCAGAGACTAGAGAAGACTCCTGGGCGCTCTGTGGCAGAGTTTCTCACAAAAGGTCTCTAGAATGGCAGAGCCTGTTTCAGAGAAATGGTACAAATAGGGCAGGGACAACATACGTGGGCCTGTCCAAAATATGACCCCTGTGTCTCTTTACACAGATGCCCCCCAGGAAGAGAACAGAAGAGGAAGAGGCTGGCTGCTCACCCAGGAGGCGACATGCAGTGGAAGCTCCTTTATCCCCTTTGAAGAAGAACATGTGGTAAGACATAAAACATTTTGCAAGACCAGCCAGTGTAACTAAGGAAGACGGGCATCTCGGCATTCCAGTGGCCACCACTGTAAAATGTGTGCCACCAGATGCCCAAGAGAGAAAATTACCACATCAAATTCTGCACAGAGGACTGTACTAACCCAGGATGCTGCTGTTAACCTGAGGGACACCTTTTAATTGCCACTGTGTTTTCCCGGTCACCCCAGGTTTTACCATTTCTCATTAATCCTTATTTTCAGTCATCTCTCCCTTCATGAAGGATGTCCAAGCTTTCCTCTTTTGCTTCAGGTAAAGCTTCTCTCGGGATAAGGTTAACCTTGGTTCTTTCTCCTCCGCTTTCCTCATACCGAACTTGGTATAATAATAATACAGTCTTTCTCCCCAACCTGACCTCCATTTGACCTTGATTCACAAGTGAGGAAAGACATTGAACAATGACATGACAAAGTGTCCCTTCTGAAATGCTCCTTCATCATCAGTCTTCCTAATATTTACTTAGTTAAGGCTGGAAAAGTTCAACATGCTTCAAACAAAGGTGACTAAGAAAACCCGCAAAACTTTGTCTTTCAGGAGCAATGCAAACAGGATTGGTCCTAGGGGACAGTGTTACAGCTTCTCTTTTATTTCTTTCCTTTCATTTTCTTTTCCTAACAATCTCAGCTAGCATTGTAATCATTTACAAGTCCCTCACAGTTGGCTGTGGTAACCCTGTAGTCCAAGCACTCTGCAGACAGAAGCAGGGGGATCACTTGAGCCCAGGAGACCTACACCAGCCTGGGCAAAACAACAAGACCCCATCTTGGAAATAAAGAAAAGCCTCTCACTGCTGTCCCTGCAAATTGATACATAACACAAAAAACTATACACGATAATAGGGCACCATGCAATATTTCAATACACTGTGCATTGTACAATGTTTAAATCAGGTCAGACGTATTTAGCTCCTCAAACACTTGTCATTTTTTTATGATGAAAACTTTCTTCTAGCTCTTTGAAATGTACTGCGCTCCATGTCTGCGCTGTATTCTTGCCCTACTGTGCCTAAACAACTTTGAGCAAAAAGAACAAAGAACAGGCTTTGTATTACCCGACCCCAAACACGCTCCCCTTCCTCAACAGCTCGGAGCGTTCACCCCGGCTACCCCGGGTCCACCTGGCTCAGGTGTCGCACACTCCACCGAGTCCTCTATGAGCTGCTCAAATTTAACTTTGGAAATGGAACAGACCAGGTAGGAGGAACTCCTCCCAAGACGACCCCACCATCTCCCTTCGCGGTCTGTGTTCCCTCACTCTAAACATCGATTACATTCTTCGGGGGTTCCCAGCCTCGCACCCACCCGGTCCCTGCTGAAGTGCTTGGACGCCACCTGCACGCGTCGCTCGCACTTCCACAGACCTGCTCTTCACACCAAACGCGCAGCCGCAACGCGGCCCGATGAACCTTTGAGAAAGAGACAGGGCCGTTGCAGACCTGTGCAATTCTGCGGGTCCTGCTGCAGTCTGGGGAACCCACCCGAGCTCTGAGGAAGGCCCTCTCCTCTGATCCAGCTCTGGCCCTGCCTTCCGGGAGGGAGCGCCCTCTTCATCACTGCTCCGAGGTGAGCACGCGCTTGCTGTTGGCAATGTTTGACTCGCTCCGCTCGGCCTCCCGCAGAAGGGACCCAGCCGGCGGGGAAGAGGGCCTGAAGTGCTCAGGAGCTTTCTCAGTCATCCCTAAGAAGGCGGTGAGAGCATGACTTTCCACGAAGAAAGAGCAATTAACGCCGCGAGCTGTAAATGACCTCTCTCGGGTAATAGAGCAGAGACCAACTCTAGGAATTGGTCCCTGGCTCAGGCCCCAAGGTCTCCCTGGAGGGCCTCAATACTGTGGGGAATTTTAGTACCAAGGGTCCTTTCTTTCATCCAGAAGGAACCATGGGCTGAGGAGAGGTTACCTCCGCCCTGTCATCGCCACATGGACAGTGTCACCTCAGCACAGGGACAACCGTGACAGACTTCTGCTGGGCGTGAGCACCACGGTAGGGATGCTCACCGCTGCGGGCCAGACTTCCCAGAACGTGGCTTCTTACCTCTGTACTTACT